GGAAGAAGAAATCTGACGTGGGTGAAAAAAAAAAAGATTTATTATTTTTAAATTAAATGAAAATGCCACCTCATAATAAAAGATATCCAACTATATATTTTTTTTCCATGTCATTAGTTAACCAAAAAAAAATTGATTTGCTGGCATTTTAACGTGCCACCTGTCATTTAACTGACGGAAGGACCATTTTGGTACCGAAAATGAAAGTTTGAGGATAATTTTGATATTTTTTAAAGTTGAGGGACAATTTTGGTGCCAAAGTGAAAAGTTGAGGGACCAAAATGGTACTTAAACCTAAAGTTTTGCTTACGATAACTATCATATGTTTCTACACCAGTTGACCATAACATTTTCAAGTCTTCAATTAAAAGTCGAAGGAATACATCGATATTTTTGCCTGGGCTTTTTGGACCAGCAATGACCAATGTAAGAAAAGTAAACTCTGGTCGCATGCACATCTCTGGTGGCAAATATAAACAGTTAAAAAAACTAGCCAACAAGAGTAGGGGGTTGAAGAATGAGCCCATGGGTTGAAACCATCAGTAGCAAGACCTAATCGAACATTACGAGGTTCTCTTTTAAAGGAAGGATGCATTTGATCAAAATGTCTCCATGCTTCTGATTGTGGTGGATGAATGACCTCATCTGTATCACCACAACATTTCAAATGCCATGTCATGTGCTCAACTATTTTTCGAGACATGTATAGCCTCTGAAGGCGAGGTATTATTGGCAAGTACCAAAGAGAATTCCTTGGAATGACCTTTTGTCTATTCCTTCCTGGATTTCTCTGTTTATACCTCGCTTCTCCACAAATTGGACATGTAGTCAATGTTTTCGTATGCTCCCCATAGTATAAAAAGCAGTTGTTAACACAAGCATCAATTTTTAGATAACCTAACCCAAGCCCCTTCATATATTTTTTTACTTCATAAAAATTTGAAGGAACTTTTCCTTGATCTTCAGCACTTAACAACCTTCTACATCCTTTGAGAATGGCATTAAAACCATTAGCAGTTATATTATTTGCAGTCTTTGTATGCAACATATAAGAAAGCCAGCTAAGCACTGCCTCATTTCTTTTAGCACTACCAAGTGGAATTGTAGATGCATGAAGTAAGTCATAAAATGCCTTTGCTTGATTGTTTAGTTCCTCGTCCAGATGTTGATTGGGGAAATTACCTTCCATTTCCCGATTATCATCATCCTCTGGACAAAATGCATCATACACCATTTCACGAAAGTCATTCCTTTCATCATGGTGCGTATCTTGGCTATGTGATGATTCTTCCAGATTAGTAGCAGACCATGGATCTGCTGAATTCATAAATGTCTCACCATGTGCCCACCAAACAGAATAAGCATTCATAAAACCATACTTAGTAAGATGGTCCCATACCATTTCCCGAGTCATCAACGGTAAATTAAAACATTTAGTACAAGGACATCTGATTAAATCATTCGGTTGAAGACCAAGGGTATTGTATGCAAATTGAAGGAAATATTCAACTCCACTATAGAACTCATTATATATCTCTCCTCGTGGAGTTCGA